TGTGGTGTCCCCTGGACAGTGTGCTTGTCTTAAGAGTGACTCATGTGTTTATTCAGAGTGACAAAAGCAAGAGTCATTTAAATTTAAAAGCCATTTGGTGGCGACTGGGAAATATTATGTATGACTCTTTGCGTGGCACTGCTTATTAAACAAGTCATGCTGATGTATTTCCTTAGACTTGAGGCTTCAGAGGAGGGATTCTCTCTTTAACCAGTCATGATCATTCACGTTTATTACAGGAGACATAAAGTAATCACTACTAGTGTTGGGTGATATGCTCCGTAGTCATATCGTCCTATCATCAGCCAGTGAGATCACCGAGAGAGACACGATATTTATCATGCTAAATAATTTAATTATTTACTAGACTAAAAGCAGCCTAATGTTAGTGTAATCTATCGACTACACATTATATCTTTTTAGGCAAGTAGCATATGGATGTCATGTCAAATATTTGATCAAATATAAAAATATATTACTTTTACACATAAAATACGACTTTTTAATGAATTTGTATTTAGCATAGCAACAGTTTAATAGAAACATTGTAAGTTACTAATTATAAAGCTTACATTTCCTCGGTTATTCAAACAGCAGCTACAGAAAACGAGCAAAGAATATTTACATTATCAAAGAACATCAAGACTGACTTCAGTATAGCGCGAGTTTATGCACCCCTGTTATAATCCGTGAAGCTATCTGCAGACTTTACAGAAAAGGAGAAACAAAAGTGTTGCTGTAACTTTGAGTTCCTTAATGCCTCATATTCCCCTCATATTCTACTCTAGCAAATAAGAAGATTAAAAATAGTTTTTTTTGGGGGGGGGTTACATTAATTTGTTGCATATTTCCACCTTAATAATTTTATAAAATCAGCTTTAATATATAGTATAATAAAAATCTATTAATATTTAATAACATTTATAATAAATATAAAACATATATATATATAAGCAAAGAATATTTACATTATCAAAGAACATCAAGACTGACTTCAGTATAGCGCGAGTTTATGCACCCCTGTTATAATCCGTGAAGCTATCTGCACTGTATATGATGAATAAATCTCTTATACTTACAACGTACTCGCATCTGCACTTTGTTGTTTATGATGAGAGAATTCGCGAGAGATCAGAATTCAGTCAGCGATTGTGCGCGCTGAACAACAAAACTCCGGTGTTTCAGCGATGGCTCATCTGAACGCCTCTGATTGGCCGCTGCATTCATAAACTCAACGGAATCGTGTGTGATTGGTTATAATGCGCAACACTGTAAAAACGCGGGAAAAGAAATTTGATGGAACAAATATGCCCTAATATTAATTAAGATAGCATTACTAGCCTGATAATAATAATAATAATAATAATAATAATAATAATAATAATAATAATAATAATCGTCTCTCGATATTGTCAAATTTAAGGCATCAGCCACAGGCGATATCTTGGACTAGCGTCGATACACGATATGATCTATCGGCACAACCCTAGCACTAGTTTGACGTTGAAATATTACACTAGATCTGTAATGCGCCATCATATGTCATCAGCAAACTTCTGATGGATTTGCAGATTATGGGTGACTTCGTTTAAACGAAATTTGGTAAAAGGGTAGATCAGGGCTAGTAACATTTCCATTGTTAACATGTATAGCAACTAAGGCTATATTTTGTATTTAATATTTGCACTATGACAGAAAAAATACAATCTTTTTATGTAAATCACAAAAACCATACAAGGATCACATTGGATCAATATTTATTTATTTATTTATTTATCAATCAATCACATATATTTGTTTGTTTACACCTAAAGAAAAAATCCTATATTTTTTTTTATTTTCAATATTTGTTAATATTTTCAGGGATCTAAATTGGTGGATAGATAGAATGATACTATATTTTGATATTTTATTTGTGTGTATTGTATTTTATATTTAAATTACAACGCAAAACATGGAAAGTAAATCCCAAAATCCATAGAACGATCACAAATATTTTCTGCACACCAATAAACACTTTTTTAAATGTTTTATTTATACCTTTTTAAAATACATTATAAAAAGATACAAAAAAAATGTAGTGTACAAATACACTGAAGTTTTTTTCCAAAAAGAAAAAGAAATACTAGTGCAGTCCTACATACAATAAATACTACAGTTCTACAGTATGTTGACCAAGCTATACATAGATGGTATCCAAAACTAGGCTGACAAATAAACAATTTCTATGTGTATTTTTTCATATTTTTTCCAAATCTTTCCTATTTAATAAAAAAATACTTTTGATTTAAAAAAAAAAAAAAAAATAAAGCAAAATTGATAAAATAAAATGATGGATGGATGGTTGGCTGAATAGATATGTATTTTGAAAAAATGTATTTTTAGAAACTGAAACCTCACAACCATTGTTTTTAAAATTGTATCCATTCATTATGGAAATATGTGAAAATATATGCTTGCTGATATAGATTTAGAATATATATATATATTCTAAAAAGTAAATCCCAAAAACCCTGCAAGGATCACATTTATTTGTTTGTTTGTTTGTTACACAAATAAACAAATCCTTAGTTTATATATTTTTAGTTCTTTTAGTGAATGGATAAAATGATGGATGGATGGACAGATTTTCTCATCCATTCATGATTCATTAAAATATGTGAAAATAAAAGGAAGATTCAAATTATAAAATATATTTTTAAAATGTATTTTATTTATATATATATATATAATATAAATAAATAAATAAATAAAAAAAGTACTGTTTCTTTTATTATTTATTGACTCACAACCACACTGAAAATTCAAACCACTCCAAACATTCCAAAATCGCGCCTGTCGCTTTAAATTTGGGACTCGGCCTGTGTGGAATGCGCCTCTTGTCCCATAATGCCGCGCGGCGCAGTACTGGGACAGTCAATCTACATTCAGCAGTCGCGATTGGCGCTGCTTTTTTAGGTTGCCAGGTGATGTGTCGTGTGTTTTTGTGCGGCTGTCATAGTAACCTGAGTGATGTTTGAGGTGACGAGGCCGTAAAGCGCGTCCATGGCGTTATAAACGGTGAGTTTGTTCAGAGTAACAGGTGTTTGCTAACAGAGCTAATAAACACAGAGCCGCTAAAACACGTTCAAACTCTTTTCGAACGGCTGCGTTTTAGCTTCTTATAGGTAAATGTTCAGCTACAGGTGGCTCTTTTTAACTTTTTAAACGACAGTTGCGTTAAAATAGCTGAAAGTTTGCTCAGTTGCTGGTTAAGAGGTCAGCTGGCCATTGTGTTTAGTTTCATTGGCTAGTCAACCAGGTCAGAGTTTATGCTGGACTTCAGGAACTTCAGTCAAACACTCGCAGACATTTTAGTTGGCAGGCTTTATTCATCACTGTCGTTCGTTTGGCTAATTGCATTACATTGAGATCATTGTGTGCAGCTAGAAAAAAATGTAACGTAAACATTGCAACACAAGACCCAGCTAATCAATAATGGCATCACGTTGCCACCAGAATGAGTTGCTAGGGTGTTCTGGCTGGTTGTTATGTGGTTACTAGGGTGTTTTGGCTGGTTGTTATGTGGTTGCTAGGGTGTGTTGTCTCTTGTTGTTGTTGTTTGCTAGTTATTGTCCACCAGGCAAAAATTGTAAGTGTGGTAAGTTGGGGGGGGTCTGTAGTAAAAGTGAATAGTAATTGTAATGAAATATAAAATTATACAAATTCATCACTTTTTATAAATACATTTTGGTTCTGATTTAACAATAAATGTATTTTTTTATTGTGTTATTAAAAATACCGTATATAATAAATCATAATACATTACAGAACATGAGAAATGTTTATTATTATTAAGTTTCTATTTACAATGCATACTAATAAATTAAAATAACCACATCTGTTATTTGTTCTAGTATAATCAGCATTGTTATTGTCCAAAAACAGAAATAAACATTAATAAATGTATATATTTTTAATAAAAAATATAATTTGTTAATAGTAATAATGTGTACATAATTCATATTACACTATTTATTTAATTGTTATTAACATTTATATTGCTAAGTTTCTTTTTACAATGCATATTAATAACTTAAAAATTCACAATACATCTGTCTGTTGTTGTAGTATAATCATTTATTTATTGTCAAAAAGCAAAAATAATTAAATAATCAGTTCTACAGTTCTATTTATTGCACAAAAATACATTTAAATATACTTTTATTTATATTTTTAAATGTAAAACAATAATTTATGTTGATATATTACATTCTATTTATTACTTATTATTTATGATCACATTTATTATTACTATTATGTACATTATTATTATTTAAGTTTCTGTTTACAATGCAGATTATTTGTTGTGCAGTTACAGATATGTAGGATTGATTGTTGTAATTGTTTATTTCTTATTGGCACGAACTAAATTATGATTATACTATATTAATAGACATGAATATTTAAATTTGTATTATTATTATTTATTAATGTTTATGTAAATTTGTTTTGAAATCTGGGGGAAAATACCGTCTGGTAAAAGTGAATAGTGTTAGTAATGCTTGCCTTAAATTTTGAAGTTGGACAAAATCAAGAATTTGAATATTTGAATTCTAATTTAACATTACATTTCTTTTTTAATACGACAATGTGTTGAATATTACATCTTATTAATAGTTAATTCGGCCTTGTGGTGTTCTGAAATTTGTTATTTTGTGATTCAGAAGTAAAAGATTCATGTAGCTGGAAGCAGCAAATGTAAGAAGAGTTTGTTTCAGTGTAATTCTTGTGGCTTTGTTGACATTTGTAGGCACTTTCAGTCTGTTTTTGGAGGAATAATGGTGTTTGAGATCCTCCTGTCCTGATGGAGCTGTTCTTAAGCTGGACAGTCACATGCTGCTAACTGTGTTTAGCAGCAGTCGCTCACTTCAGTGAGTCCCCCTTCCGCATGCCTGAGCGCTGTCAGGTGCACCCGTCCCGTCGGCTCCTCTGAAGCTGCACTTTGATGTCCCAGGTTTGCTGACCCAAGCTGGTTTTTAGGTGTTTGTCAGAGCGTGAGATAAATAACCACATGTCACGCTTCTTAAAACACCCACGTTCACATTCCAGCAAGCAGATCATGTGATGTGATGATCCTCAGGGAGCTAATCGTGGAGTTCGAGTTCCTGTTCCGTTTTCAGGCGTATTTGACGTTCCAGAAAGTCATTAGACGTTCACTTGATCTTGATCTTTGAATAACGCCTTTCTCTGGACTTCCTTAATGTTGGTCACAGACAGAAGTGTTTTATTTCCACTTATTATTAAGAATCAAAGTGATTTGCTGAATTGCTAAAATGAATGGGATTTTGGAGTTCTGCCTCTTACAGTTTATGCTGGTCTGGACTTGACTGGATACATTTCGAAGAGTTTATTTGAACTTGTTTAAATGCGATCTGCTAGCTATAATATATTGTTTACGTTTCTCAGCAATTAAAAAAAAGTATTATTTAATTTATTCTACATTTTAAAAATAAATTCAAATATATTATTATTTGTTTAAATTATTTTAAAAAACATTGTTTAATAAACATTATTTAATAACAATGATTATTAAAGAATAAAGATCAACTGAGATTAATTTTTATGATTAACAATAGATCATTTTTGTCTGAAAACTGTTAATTGAATTTTTTTTACTTCTGTTTTATTTTAAATAACATTATGCGTTATTATTCATGCATGATATATAATATCATGCATGAATAATATTCTAATATAATAATTCTAATATGAAAATATTATCTAATATAATGCCATGTTTGTGTTTAAAAACAGATGTTTTTTTTAACTTCTATTTTATTTGGATTAATTTGTGTGAAATATTAATTTAATATATTAATAAATATAATATAATAATAATGAACCATTATTATTAGTGTTACTGTTATTAATATATATTTTTATTTATGCCATGTTTATGTCCAAAAACTGATATGGATAACAGAAGTTACATTTTTTTTTACTTCTATATTTTATTTTATTTTTTATTTTTTTGACAATAACTAAATTATAGTTATGCTTCAACAAAAAAGACTTATGGAGTATTTAATTATTAAGAAAGTCTTATGAAGTATTTCATTAATTATGAATATTTTAATATAACTTACAATTTTTTAAATGTATTAGTAGTAGTAATAATAATTATTATTATTATTCATGCCATTGTTTATGCAGAGTGGTTTCGTTATCTAAATAATACAGTGAACAAATTTTAAGCTGTTTAATTGTTAAGCTACACATTTCTTACATCAGTATGAATGGTTGTGGAGTAATTATCCAAGCAACATATTATAGCTATATGCTAGCAGTTAGTATAAAATAGAGAGACATTTTCATTTTTGACAGCATTTTGTTGGACAAAGTTATATATGGCGTTTTGAACTAGTTGAGAAAGAATTAAAGTGCACTTAAATGTATACGTCTGCTGGAAATTCAGCATTCACACTAGCATTTATATAAATGTCCTCAAAACCAATAGACATGGACTAAAAGCTACAAATTTAGATTTTATGTTGCATATTTGTCAGTTTTCATGTTTCTATGGAATGAAGTGTCTTAAAGTTCCGTTGTATAAGATGAAGTTTGTCAGATGTGAGTGTTTTCTGCTCTGGAGGTCCTGTGAAGTAGCAGGCATTGATCAGTCCCTCAGTTTGTTGTGTTTCTATTTAGGTTTGTGGCTAAATGGACGGAATCAGTCCCTTTGTGGGGTGAAAAGTGGAAAATGGCCTGCAGGGATGTGGCAGAGGTCTTTTGAATGGATAATAATGAGTGCTTCTGAAAGCTCTCTACCCCCAATAAACCTGCGCAGATAGTTTGTTTGCTGGCGTTATCAGGTCTTCTTGTAGCAGAAACCATCATTATGGAGAAAAAAACACTTTATTGTATATCTGATTATACTTTTAAATACAAATGCCTGCCAGATTTAATAGTGCATTTCGAATATTACTTCTTTGATGTTCTTTTAAAATGAAAGAAGTATTGTGAAACATAACTGTCCCGCAGCATTACGACATTCGCTCCTGTTCTTCAAGTCCTCCCCTTCACATGTAAACTCAGTTATGGGACAGTCTGATAAACTGGTTTTGATAAGAGAGCACTAACCTGTCCCTCTCTCCACCGCTGGGATCTGTGTTTGGACATCAGACTGCGCCGTCAACGTCCACAAGAGCTGCAAGAACCTGCTGCCCGAGTGCAACAGCAAAAACAAGGTAAGATTCGTTCACATTTCGACTTTTAGCCGAACAAACTTCACACTGAGTTTGTTTGAATCAAATGAATCAAGTTCCTACAGACAGTAAACGAGTTTATCTTTGGTGAGAGGAGTGGCAGGGTGTGGTTTGCTGTAAATGATAAACTAAGCCGCTCACTGTGTTAGTAAAACCGTGTTTGTTTGTTTTTTCACTCGGCGCAGAAGACGTCAAATGCCGCAGCTCAGTCGCATAGTCAAGGTAAGCAGTTTTTAGCGTTCATATCATATATCGTGTCATATCCTTGAAACGATGGCATGTTGATGCTAAAGACTTGAAACAATTTTGTAGGTTTGTAAATTTAATGATACTGAAAGTAGTTAAACTACAGTCAAGACCCTTTTGAAAAACACAAGGTTATGGGGGTTAATATTGAATTTATTTAATGGGGCACTGTGGTTTTAAATCATGTTATGTGTGTTGTTTTTCTTTTTTCAATCAAATTTTTTTCAACAAAAATGATGAGAATCTGTTAAAGTACTGTAACAACATTAAACAGCATTTGAACCAAGTAATTTACTCTAAATATTATCAATAAATCCAGAAAACCTAGTAATGAATGTTAGAATTTGATAAAATATTACAGATATTTTGTAAAATTATTTTTATTTTTTATTTATAACTATAAAATCATAATTTCATTGTAAATTGTCACACAGGCATCAGGATTGGGGAGTCAAATGAATATGTGAATTGTTTTTGAATTGCTGAATCTGTTTTTGAATTGCTGAATCGTTTTTGAATTGCTCAATCAGTTTTGAATTGCTTGAATCAGTTTTGAATTGCTTGAATCAGTTTTGAATTGCTGAATCAGGCTGAATCGTTTTTGAATTGCTCAATCAGTTTTTTAATTGCTCAATCAGTTTTGAATTGCTTGAATCAGTTTTGAATTGCTGAATCAGTTTTTGAATTGCTGAATCAGTTTTTGAATTGCTTGAATCAGTTTTTGAATTGCTTGAATCAGTTTTGAATTGCTGAATCAGGTTTTGAATTGCTGAATCAGTTTTTGAATTGCTTGAATCAGTTTTGAATTGCTGAATCAGTTTTGAATTGCTGAATCAGGTTTGAATTGCTGAATCAGGTTTTGAATTGCTGAATCAGGTTTTGAATTGCTGAATCAGTTTTTGAATTGCTTGAATCAGTTTTGAATTGGTGAATCAGTTTTGAATTGCTTGAATCAGTTTTTAATTGGTGAATCAGTTTTGAATTGGTAAATCATTTTTACATTTGTTAATGTTTTTTTTTTTAATCTGTAGATCATTTGAGTCAGTGAATCATTTTTTAATTGGTTCATTTAAATTATTAACTCGAACGAATCAATTCATTAAATTGAATTGGATTTCTCAAATGCTTTGAGAATGGACGTTTTTGCTGAGTGTTTAATTACGTGTGCAACAATGTTGTTTTAGTTTTATTTATATACTATTCTAATATTTCTTAAAGTTTTGAATGCGCTTTTTAAAAATATTTTAATTTTCATATTTACTTTTTCATTTTAGTTTGTAATTATGTGCTTGTCATTTTCTTATGTTGTTGTTGTTTTAGATTTCTGTTTAGTTTTTATTTTTCAGTTTTAGTCATTTTAGTGCTTCAGTTAGTTGCCATAGCATAACATTATTAATTTTCATTTAAGTTTTTCATCTAACATTTATATTTTGCTTTATTTCTGCTTTATTTCAATTAAAAAATCATTTTGAATATTTTTAGTTCTAGTTAACAATAACAACACTGGCATAATGTACAACAAGTGAGATGTGACTGGTTGATAAGCTGGTTAATAAGCACCAGTAAATGATCTCAAAAACAACATTTACCTCAGTTTTTCCTCTGCTAATCTGCTGTTTAGTCCAGTCTCGCAGCTGCACGAGGAGCTTGTTTGGTTTAATGGATGCTGGGCAGCAGATGCTGATGGGAGTCCCCTGAGAGCAAATTAAGGTCATCTGGCTGTTGTTCTCGTTTTCACCTTCACTCAGAGAAGCACTTAAGAGGTTAATCACGCTTCTCCAATTAATTACCCCACAAATCTGATCAAGATTTACTGCTCATGCTGTGGCTTGGACACAATTGTACTTGGTAGTAGTAGAAGAGTGGCATTTCAAGTAAGTTGATGGTAGCTTTTTCCTTCCCAGCCATTCTGCTCTTGTCGTTTTGTAAGGTTGTGTCATGAAGTAAACCGGATGACCCTTTGTATCGAGACGATGTGTTGTTTGCTAATGTAGTGCGGTGTGGTGATTTCCTCCTGAGCTCTGGAGGTCTCGTTAAACAGCTCCCGCTGTGACCGTGGCCGAGGTGGTAATTGCTTTAAGAACCGCGGATGAAGCCTGTAATGCTTCACTTCCCAGCGGAAAACATCTGGAAATGCTTCACTGCTTCACCCAGAGCCTTCTGGAAGCACATCTTCTTGTAATTGCATAAAGGGGCTACAGCTGAATATTGGTAACTTAGCAGCAATACAAACAATGCAGACATAAATGCGGTAGAGATAGGATAGCTTGAATTTTGAGACATGTAGTTTTTGTCATGTTCATTCAAAAATAAATAAATTAATTGATTAAATGAATTAATTTTTCATTTAAAATTTTATTAGGGTGGTTTAATACATTTTAAATTAGGCAAGTTTATAAAAATTAAATGTATATTAAAACTATTTAAAAATGCATAAAATACATAATTTTTTATTTTTATTTATTTTTAATTATGAAGTACTGATTATTATTATTAATAATAATAATAATAAGTTGTTTATTATGTGTTTGTTTAATTTGCTGCATTGGCTAATAAAGTTAAATTCATTTAGATTTTTAATAATATAAAAATATAATATTTATAGATATTTCTAAAAATAAAAACATTATTTAAGAATATGCTATTATATTATTGCCTTTTTTTACTATTATTATTACTACTACTGTGCATGTATGTTTATAATTTTATTAAATACAAATGCAGCATTTAAAATGTTTCATTTTATAAGATTGTTTAGCATGTTGAATTTGCTGCATAGCCTAATAAAGCTGAATTTATTCATATTTCTTAACACAAAAAATAATTGTTATTCAAATTAACATATTATTACTCATTAGCTGTCAGGTTCTCTCTGGAGATGATAATGGTTTACATGCTCACACTAATCTGACGGTGAGACACAGACCCTCGCCTGTTGCATCAAAACATCCTCCGGCTCAACAGGACAGTGACGGGAGGGAGGCGAGACGGGAAGGCGCATGTGTGATTTCTAGAAGCCACTCTCCACTTTATAAAGCCCACCGTCTTCCTCTCCATCAGTGTTTTCTGATATCCAGTGTAGAGTCAGGCATCATGGCACTGGCTTTACCCAGAGTCCGTGGTTCTCAGAGGAAGAGCGCTCGTGTCCCTGTCTCCTGGCTCGGGGTTCGAGTCCTGCTCCATCGTGACTTACTCACCTACCGCTTCCTCGACTCGATGCCTCGCTCGTTTTTGAGGCACTGCAAACGCACTGACCCGTCTGGTTTCTCTGCAGCTCTGAGGGACCCCTGCTCTGCCCTGACTCCCGTCGATGGCTCGTCAAGGACATCTCGCTGTGCTTCAGGTATGACCGTTCCACCCAAAGGACACAACACCCAACCAGCCGCCTCCAGCAACCCTACAGTCAGCCACAACAACAGCAGCAGGTGAGTCCTCTGTGCCTTCAGTCATACATGCTGTGGTTTACACAAGCTGTACGATAAATATGACTAAATATTTAATTGCTACATTTTGGGATGCACCAGTGTGAAAAACTATTTTTTATTATTATGACCAAGACCGAAAGGTTTTAATACTATAAATGTATACATTTCACCTGGTTTAATAACTTTTTACGTTTTTAAAGTTTTTCAATATAAATGTCATCCAATTTAAAATAGGTGTGATTTGACTAACAATAATTATACATTTTTTTTTGTTGTTATTATGATTGGCAATATCATAAATCTGTATATTATTTTTTTTTATGCATTAAATCCTATAACCTGATGTTGTGCTGACCATGTAAAAAAAAAAACCACACGCATACATTATGAATATACCATATGACCAGTACAACCATTATGAATATACTTGTCGATATATTGTGCATCCATGAGTTTTAACATGGCACTTTAATATTTATTTGTTAACATATTAATTGAATAATATTAATATTTATAATGTAATATATTTATTATAATATAAATACACATTATTTATGTATTATTTAGTATATATTTTATTAAATTATATAATTACATTTGAATAGAATATATTCAATATTAATATTTTTATTTAAATTAAATCCACACCAGTGGTGTTTTAGTTTCATTACTGTTATAGTTTTTTTTTATTAATTATATTTTATATTTTCTGTTTTCACTTTAATTTTAGTTGATGTTTTAATAATCTTGTGTTTTGTTTTTGTCATCGATTTTTTTATTTTTTTTATTTTTATGTCTTTATAGTATTATATATTATGTCTATATAATTACTGCAGCGTTTGCATGCTCATGTTCTCTGGCAGCTCTATCACAGGAGAGATGGATGAAGTTGACGCATTCAGGATGAAGCGCCCCGCTGACGACACTGTATCTCTCGCCTCCACGATGCCCGAGTCTCTCATCGTTGAAGGTGAGGGGTTGATTTTCAAAGCCAAAACATTGAGAACACCCAGAACGTATGATAAAGTGTCATGGGTAATTTATGAAGGGGGTTTTGTAAAGCATTGAGCAACACTTTGTACTGAGGATCTGTGTGGATGTTGAGCTTTATCGTTATTGTGCACAGATGCGTATTACACCACTGTACGAGGGGAACTGGAAGCCATCACACAAGATTTCGAGGTGGAGTCCTGGAATCTGGCTGTGGATCAGCACTTCTTAAAGAAACATTCGAAGGAAATGATCAAGAGACAGGATGTTATATATGGTTAGTGTTGTTTACCTACCCACACTGCACTGGCAACTTCAAGAAAGTGTTTTCCAGATCTTCTCTAAAGCTATTCCTGTCTCCTCCAGAGCTCATCCAGACGGAGATACACCACGTGCGGACGCTCAAGATCATGCTCCGCGTTTACGCTCGAGACCTGCGGGAGGCACTACAGCTGGACGACAGGAGGCTGGACTGTCTGTTTCCCCGGCTGGACAGCCTGCTGGAGCTGCACAGCCACTTCCTGTCCCGCCTCCGGGAGCGTCGCGCAGAGTCCCTGCAGCCTGGCAGCGAATGCAACTATGTCATCCATAAACTCTCAGATATCCTTATATCCCAGGTGCGTGCCCTACATTTAGTGCCATACTTCCTGCTTCACATTTCCTGCCCTACATTTCCTGTTGACACCTTTTTACCCTATGCTTTCTGCTTCACATTTCGTGTCTCTCAGTTTATGCTTTAAAAACATCCTTATTCAGTGTTTTCGCCAAAACACTTCCTGCTGTGTCATATTTCCTGCTTCACACTTCTCTACATTTCCTGATCTCACACTTTTTTCCCTAAAATTCCTGCTTCACATTTCCTGTCTTGCACTTCTTGCTTCAGATTTCCTGTTTAACACATCCTACTTCAAACATCCTGTTGTCACATTTCCTGCCCTACACTTTATGCTTCACACATCCTGTTATTGCACTTTCGCCACCCCCTTCCTGCAGTTGTCATACTTCCTGGTTCATACCTCCTGCCCTGCATTTCCTATTTTGCTTCCTCCTTTGCACTTGCTGTTTTCACAGTTCCTGCTTCACATTTCCTGTTTCGCTTCCTGTTTCAAACATCCTATTGTCACATTTCCTGGCCTACACTTCCAGCTTCAAACATCCTATTGTCACATTTCTTGTTCTACACTTCCTGCTTCACATTTCCTGTCTTTTACTGTCATGCTGTTGTCATATTTCCTGGCCTACACTTCCAGCTTCACATTTCCTGGCCCACACTTCCTGCTTCACATTTCCTGGCCTACACTTCCAGCTTCACATTTCTTGTTCTACACTTCCAGCTTCAAACATCCTATTGTCACATTTCTTGTTCTACACTTCCTGCTTCACATTTCCTGTCTTTTACTGTCATGATGTTGTCATATTTCCTGGCCCACACTTCCTGCTTCACATTTCTTGGCCTACACGTACTGTTTCTCATATGCTTTTGTTACAAGTGTGAAGGTTGGAAGTGTGGGCCAGGAAATGTGACAACAGTAGGTGTGAAGAACAAAATATTGAGAAGGAAGTAAGAAGCAGGAAGTGTGATAACAGCATGTATGAAGCAGGAAGTTATTTTGCTTGTTTTGTTTTAGTTTTCCGGAGAGCTTGGAGAGCGAATGAAGGAAAGTTATGGGGATTTCTGCAGTCGGCACACTGAAGCAGTCAACTACTACAAAGAGCAGCTGCAGAGCCACAAGAAGTTCCAGAACCTCATGAGAGTATGTTGAGATCTTAACCGTCTCAAAGTTGCTAACATTTCCTCAGCGTTGCTTTGAATCATTTTCTCCCCTTATTGTGTTTCAGAAAATCAGTAATCTGTCAATAGTGCGGCGGTTAGGCGTTCCAGAGTGTATCTTGCTGGTGACACAGCGAATCACCAAGTATCCTGTTCTTCTGGAGCGCATCCTGCACAACACAGAAGGTTGGTTGTTGCAGTCCAGTGAAACTATCCAGATATTATGGATGTGCAAGGTTCTAAACACTTTCTTCTCATTCCAGCCGGGACAGAGGAACATGAAGGATTAGCACAGGCTCTCAGTCTAATCAAAGATGCCATCGTTCAGGTGGACGCCCAGGTCAGTCTCTATGAGAAGGAAGCGCGGCTCAGGGATATCGTCTCCAAGATGGAGCCCAAGTCGCTGGGGAAAATCAAAGATGGACGTGTTTTCCGGAAGGAGGACCTTTCTCAGGGCCGCCGCAAGCTCTTGTACGAGGGCATGGTCAACTGGAAAGCTGCATCTGGTCGACTCAAAGGTATTATGAGAACCACAATTTCCATGCACAAGTACGGAGCCCATCAAGGGACAGGGTTTGTGTTCCCCCAAATACTTAAAGTATTTTCGCTTGCAGAACTTTTGCATTCCCCTGAAAAACTTTGCATTTGCTTGCAAAACTTTTGTGATGTAAATAATATGAAGAAAGAGGAAAAATTATACTTCCGTGTTTTTGTGAGTGAATGCAGAATTTCTTGGGAGCGCAAATGTTTTGCAAGCAAACACAACATTTCTTGGGAGAGAATGTAATAGCTTTGCAAAAGAACCCAAATGTTATGTGAGAACGGAACAATTTTAAGAGAGAACGCATAGCTTCAATAGAGAGAACATAATAGTCTTAAGATAGAACGCAAGGTTTCTCAAGGGAAAGCAATACTTTTGCAAAAGAGCGCGAATGTTTTGTAAGAGAATGCAATCGTTTTAAGATGGAATGCAAAGGCATTGAAATATATTTTTTCTTGCCATCTCATATATATATATATATATATATAAGTCTGAAAAGTCTGTTTGACTCAGAGTTGAAATTTGGGATTCTTCCGTTGCAGATATTCTAGCTCTACTTCTTACTGATGTTCTCATCTTGTTGCAAGAAAAGGACCAGAGATTTGTGTTCTCGACTGTGGTGAGTACAAGCACTTTGTTTTCAGTTTACACAAGATGAGAAATTGTTCATCTGAATGCACTCATCCGTGTTTGTTTTCCGCTAGGACAACAAGCCTTCCGTTATTTCACTGCAGAAGTTGATTGTGCGTGAGGTGGCACACGAGGAGCGGGCCATGTTCCTCATCTGCGCCTCATCTAACGAACCTGAGATGTACGAAATCCACACGAGCTCAAAAGAAGACCGCAACACGTGGATCACCCACATTCGTCAGGCCGTGGAGAGGTCTGTGTCTGTCTATAATCACATATGTGTCTGTATTTACTTCAGTCTGCGTTTTTTTTTTTTAAATGTTCCTCCTCTGTTTCTGTCCATCAGCTGTCCACATATCGAAGAGAGATTGTTTAGTGAGGAAGAAGAAGCCAGAGTCGCCCGGTTCCGAGAGTTTCAAGGTAAAACACCATAAGTGGCTTGTCTCTTTCGTAAGGACAATTTTGTTTTTGTTTTTTTGCTCATTTTGATGATGTGTGGTGGTTTTTTGTTTAATGAGCTTTGAAGGATATTTTGTCACTAGAGGGCGCACTTGCGTTTTCATACTGAAATCTTGCAAATCTTGTATCTTTTGTCAAAAATAAGTATTTTAAGCTCATATGCTTATAATATTATGTATTATACATATTATAAATATTGTAATATACTAAACTATATATGATATTTAATATTATTATATATTAATAGTAATATAACTGTATTAATATAATATATAGTAATATTAACTATCATGAATGGGTGTGTAAATATATGTGTGTGTTTGTATAAATGTATAGTTATGTTTGTTAATTATAATTTTTTTTTTTTAATTGTTCGATACATCAGAGTTTGGTGTCAGTAAAATTTTTATTAAAGAAAGAAATAGTTTTATTCCACAGGGACGCATTGAATTGATTAAAAGTGACAAAATTTGTTAAAATATCAAAAATTTAACACATTTAATAAATGCTGTTATTTTGAACTTTTCATCAATGAATCCTGAAAAAAAAAAAAACACGTTTTCCACAAAAATATGGTTTCTTGCATTATGTTGTGCTATGACATTTATAATGTTCTTCTGTTTAAAATAATTTAAATTCCATCAATGATTTTGTCTCTTTAACACATTTCCCTCCATCTGCGACTCATTTTCTGTAGATCGCCTGACGTTGAAGGATGCTCAGATCGTCCAGAGCCTCACGGAGAAGCTGCAGTTGTTTGCAGAGCTGGCTGAATCTGTGGCCGGTCTAGAGGACGCCAGCTCTTGCTCCCGCCTGCTGCTGCGGGGCGACGCCTCGGACCTCCAGCAGGGGGCGCAGCTGCTTAAAGGAGCCATTACTGAAGGTAACACATCAGGCTGAGTTAGTTTTTGTGCTAAGCATTGGCATCATGATGTAATCTTGCACCTGCTAATAAACTAGATTATTAGAGAACTAAATGTAGTTATTGAAGCGAATCTCTGTTTCTGTAGCAGAGAATCTGCAGAACCTCCTTGCATCTGGAGCTCGGGAAGCATCTCCACAGACTGAGGGGAACCAGAGTCCGTCCTTGAGTTTGCTGCCACGCAGAGCAGACACCTTTAGCGGCTACGATAGCATTCCTAGCAAACTGCCTACAAGTAAGAGTCAATACATGTGATTAGACACTGATTATACATGTTGCATTAATGGGGATTAGCTGGCAGGATTGTAACTTGAGACTCATTATAGTTACATCATTTCTAATCTTTTTATCCATATTCATTGCATTTTTAAAGGCTGTGCATCCCAATTTGCATACTATCTGTACTATGCAGTAGGCAAGATTACGGTTAGTTTGTCTCAAATCATAGTATGTTGAAAATGTTTTTCGTTCTTTTTTCATTGTGTAATTTATCTTTGTTGCTCTTTGTCTTTTTTTTTTTTTTTTTTTTCGTTTTTGCTTATTTCTTTCTCTTTTGTTTGTTCTATTTTTGTTTCTTTTATTTATTTGCTGTTTTGTTTGTTTTTATGACAGTCTGTTCTTTTGTGGCATTTCATTCTTTCTATTGTTTTTGTGTTTTTCTTTTTTCTTTTGTCCTTTTAATTTTATTTTTGTTTTCTTTTTTTCCCCTTCATTCTTTTGTTTGTTTGATTGATTTGTTTTGTTTTTCTGTATTTTGTTTCTAACGTTGATGCTTACTTTTATTTGTTTGTTCTCTGACTTTTCTTTCTTTCTTTTCTTTGTCTTTCTGGCTTGCTTTCTGTTTACACTGCATGAAATTTACATTCTTACCAGACACTTTCTTACCAAAGCACCTTACAATACAGTACACAAATCATGTTTGAGCAAATACAAGGACAGGCTACGCCTTAGCTAACTTTGAATTTGTAATTTTATATTTTAAAAGCTGTTCATCCCAATTCACATACTATTTGTACTATGCAGAAGGCAAGATGCATTTTTTTTTTTGTTTAGCTTAATTACACACAACCCCCCTGGCCTGTGTTATAGAATATGGTTGGTTTGTGCAGGTCTACTATGTACCTCTCCAGTATAAGCTTGTAAATCAGGTGTATTTGTGTTAAATCAGATGGCAGTATTAAGAAGAAGGTTCCCGGAGCAGCCGGCAGGTCCAGGGACAGGAGTCAACGGGCCAGCTCTGATCCGCAGCTCAAAGAGGTGTACACATGTCAGGACCGGGATGAGCTGGTGAGAGAACACACTCATGCAGGCATTTGTCCCACAGATGATAGGAACATGCCTGTGTTTACTAAACGAGAGGAGTGGCATCAGATGGTCTGGGCAGGAAATTCACTTTTGTCAGTTTTAAACTGTCATACCAGTCACTGTCAAGCTATAGATCTGATAATTATATGATGATTATATTATACAGTTATATGATTTAATATTATATGATTTATTATATTATTGTAGTAAATATAGTATTTTATGTTTATAAAAATTATAGTTTAATAATCTAATTTATAAAGAAACTATCTAGCAATGTATATAATACCTACTAGTGAGATTAATTCTAAAGATATAATTTAAATACAGTAAAGAATAATTAATCAAGGAAATTAAAGTTCAGTAATAAATAAAAATGTTACATTTTTTCTATAATGCTTGTTACTAAAATTTACTTGCTACAATAAAGTAATGCATTACTCAGCTACCATGATAATGTCTTTGAATTGTCTTCACTTGGGGGCTTTTCTTAGCAAACGTTGATATACATGATGTTATCCGATTGAAATGTTTTTCATTTATTTTAATCTGTCGTCTCTCTCAGGATGAGGCCTTCTCATCCGGCTTGCACAAAATGTGGTCCACCTGTAAGTTTCCAGAATCAGAGGTAAGAGCGCACATCGGATTGGATTGGCGATTACGGCTCACTTTGTTTCCCATGAGATAAAAGGCACATATTATTTCTCACACTCCTCTCAATACATATTTGAGATGGTAACCTTTGCGTTCACCGCACCTAATCGGCTGTTAATGCAGCGATACTTCACTTGGCAGGAATGTGGCATTGTGTCTCGTGAGAATAATGTCTCTGAATATTGAATCATCCTGCCAGTAATGTTGCCCTTGTCTTCCTGTTTTTCCAGTTCTATGAGCGAGTGCTGCTGCTGTCCCAGAGGCTGTACAGTTTACAGGTACAACAGAATGACCACACTCACATCTCACTCATAACCTCAGCCACATGCATCCTGTAATCATGACAAGATCTGCTTTAGAAGAATCAGGGTTCTCATGCTGTCCTCATTTGCTTGTTCAGGTGTTCACAACATCTGTCATTGTATTTTAAACAACAACTACATTTCTTTAGTAGTTGTTTAACAGCTACTGATTAGTCCATTCTCTTGTTTTAATTTTTAATTTGTTCTTTTGTTCATTCGCTTGTTTGTTCATTCTTTTAATTTGTTCTGTTGCTCCTTCTGTTGTTCATTTGTTCTTGTTCTTTTTCATTTCATTATTTTGTTCTTTCATTTTATTTATTTATCTTTTTTGGTTGTTCTTTCTGTCAGTTTTGCTTTCATTTGTTCCCATTTGCTCTTATTTTTTTTTTTTCATTTTTGCTTGTGTTATTCATTCTCTTTTGTTTATGCCGTTTTCTTTCATTTTTGTTTCTGTTCTTGCTGTCGTATTTGTTCTTTTTCACTCTTGTTCTATTTTTCTTTTTTGGTTTCTGTTTCATTCTCTTTCATTCATGCTTTTTTTCTTTCATTCGTTTTGTTAGTTCTTACTGTCTTTGTTTATTATTTTGTCTTTTCAGTCTTGTATTTTTTTCTTTGTTTTTGATTTTTGTTTGTTTAATTCTTTAATTTATACTGTTTTCTTTTGGTCGTTTTATTTGTTCCTTGCCTTTTTGTTCTTTTTTTCTTTCATTCTTCTGTTTATTGTTTGTCATTCTTGTTTTTATTTTTTTGTTTGTTTTTGATTTTCTTTAATTTTTTTTCTTTCATTTGTTCTTTTTATTTATTTGCCATTTTGTTTTTGTTTGCATTCTGTATTTTTTACTTTTGCTCATTTTTTTTCTCTCTTGTTGATTTTTATCATTTTTCTTTTTATGACAATCTGTTCTTTCTTTCAAATTTTTCTTTCATTGTTCCATTTTCTTCTGTTTGTTCTGTTTTTATTAAGTTGCTGTTTTGTTTGTTTGCTTTTCTGGCTTTGATTATTTTGTTTGTTCGTTCATGGTTTTTTTTTTTTTTTTTTTTTTAAATGCTTTGTGCATATGTAAATTACAGCTATATGTTCTTTCATTCTTCTGTTTATTGTTTGTCATTCTTGTTTTTATTTTTTTGTTTGTTTTTGATTTTCTTTAATTTTTTTCTTTCATTTGTTCTTTTTATTTATTTGCCATTTTGTTTTTGTTTGCATTCTGTATTTTTTACTTTTGCTCATTTTTTTTCTCTCTTGTTGATTTTTATCATTTTTCTTTTTATGACAATCTGTTCTTTCTTTCAAATTTTTCTTTCATTGTTCCATTTTCTTCTGTTTGTTCTGTTTTTATTAAGTTGCTGTTTTGTTTGTTTGCTTTTCTGGCTTTGATTATTTTGTTTGTTCGTTCATGGTTTTTTTTTTTTTTTTTTTTTTTTCTGTTTTTTTTTTTTTTTTTCATTTAACGCAAAGTATAGTACACTTTTTTTAAGATTTATTTTTGACATTTTTTTTTTTTTTTCTTTTTGAACATGAACAATTTAGCCATTCTCACCCTTTTTTTCGGTTGTTCTGTTCCATTGTCTCTCGCTCACTTTCTTCTCCTCCTTTCTGGATTACGTTCACTCACACTTAAATTTATATAGCTGTTTCCTTCTGTATATATATCAGTATTATTCTTTTGTCTTTTCTCTAGAGGGGGCATATTGGTCTATAATACATCTTTGTTTTTTTGTTTCTTACAAAGCTCATGCATTTGGGTTTTTTTTTTTTTTTTTTTTTCTGCAGTTCTTTGCTTTTGTTTGTTTATGACAGCCCATTCTTTCTTTTCATATTTTGTTCATTGTTTGTTTGTTTTTCCTATCTTTTGTCCTTTCAGTTGTCCTTTAATTTGCTTTTCTTTTGGTTTTGGTTTCATTTCTTTCTGTATTTAGGTTTTTTTCCCTTTATGCTTTTGTTATTTTGAGCTTTTGTGGGTTTTTTTTGGCCTTTTTTTGTTCATTTTTTCTGTTGTCCTTTAAGTTGCATTCTTGCTTGCTGCTTTGTTCTTTCATTCTGTTTACATTTCATGAAATTTACATTCTTACCAGACACTTTACCAAAGCACCTTACAATACAGTACACAAATCTTGTTTGAGCAAATACAAGAACAAGCATCTGAAAGTACACAACACTTGCTAAACTAAGCCTTAGTTACCAGGAAGCTCTTAACAACTATCCAAACATCAAGTCCTTTCTGTCTCCTTCCCCCTCAGGCCATAATCTCTCAGCAGGACAGCCACATTGAGCTCCAGCGGGCCTCTCTCCTCACCGCCGAGCGGGAACGTCCCGGCAGCCGGAACCGCGGCACAGATGTGCTCCTGGAGCAGGAGAAGCAGCGCAACTTGGAGAAGCACCGCGAGGAGCTCGCCAACTTCCAGAGGCTGCAGAGCCAGCATCGGCAGGAGCAGGCGCGCTGGGAACGGGAGCGGGAGAAGCAGCGGCGGCAGGCGGAGGCGGCTGAGCAGCGGCTGAAGGAGCGGGAGGAGGAGTGTCGGCGACTGGAGCTGCGTTTGGTCGAGGAGAGGCAGGAACTCGAGAGGCAAAGGCAGACGTACCAGCAAGACCTGGAGAGGCTGAGAGAGTCCACACGTGCTGTTGAGAAAGAGAAAGAGCGGTTAGAGCAACAGAGGAAGTTGAAGAAGCACAACACTGTGCCAAATACAGCAGCACTGTACGCACAGGAAGTTGGACAGGTGAGATGCCACATGATTCTAGACCAGTTTCCTTTTTTACCTCGTCAGTATAATGTAACGCTTACTATCTGTCTCCACATGAATCGTGGTTCCCTTAGATGGCAGTACATGCTGAAACTACTAAACTATCTAATGTTCATTCAGACAGGTTAATAATAGGTCCAAATAGGGTTGTGCAATTAATCACATGCGATTGTCAAGTGCATCTCGTCAGTAAAGCCGGTTCCGTGATTAGTAGTAAATCTCCATCACCTGCTTTCAGATGGAGTGGCATTTAATACACAGAGCCATAGTTCACTGACAATTAGGAAATATCGCGTTCACAATCGCAGATGAATCGCATTCGATTACGAACGCGATATTGCCTAGCTTGTAAGTGAACTGTGGCTCTGTGTAGTAAATGCCGCTCCATCTGAAAGCAGGTGATGGAGATTTACTACTAATCACAGAACCAGCTTTACTGACAAGATGCGCATGACAATCGCATGCGATTAATTGCACAGTCCTAGGTCCAAATAATAATACCAATCTGACTGGTTGACACTAAAATATAAAATATTAGACTATAAAATCAGGCTAAAATTGTTTGCACCAATTTTCATTGCTCTCCAAAAAAGGTCACTTAAATCATAAAGCTTTTTTTTTTTTTATCATCATAGTAAAAAATTTGGACTGTTTTGATTGGTTTTGAATTCTTAGTCTGGGGTTTATAATTTTACAGGCTTAATATTTACAGTAATATATACAGTAATATTATGGGGAAAAAACAATTTAAAACAGCTTCTTTTTGGTAATATATTTTAAATGTATAAAAATATATTTGATTTTTTTTAATTTTTAGCATCATTACTCCAGTCTTCAGTGTCACATTATCCTTCAGAAATCATTTTAATATGCTGATTTACTGCTCAAGAAACGTTGCAGTAAATCAGCATATTAAAATGATTTCTGAAGGACATTGCTTAATATGCTTAATATTTTTGTGGAAACCATAATATTTCTTTTCAGGGCTCTTTGATTAATAATATATACAGTAATATTATGGGGAAAAAACCATTTAAAACAGCTTCTTTTTGGTAATATATTTTAAATGTATAAAAATATATTTGATTTTTTTTTATTTTTAGCATCATTACTCCAGTCTTCAGTGTCACATTATCCTTCAGAAATCATTTTAATATGCTGATTTACTGCAACGTTTCTTGAGCAGTAAATCAGCATATTAAAATGATTTCTGAAGGACATTGCTTAATATGCTTAATATTTTTGTGGAAACCATAATATTTCTTTTCAGGGCTCTTTGATTAATAGAAAGTTTAAAAAAAACAGGATTTATTTGACATTATAATTGTCTTTACTTTCACTTTTGATCAATTTAATGTGTCCTTGCTGAATAAAAAAAACTTACAACCTTTTAACAATATTCAATATATATCTTGATTTATGCTTTTACTCTGTAATGTCTTAATGTTTTTTTACCCATCAGAAATGATATGTAATTATATGCATGTAATGAATATGTAGTATAATATAAATTCTAAAATGTATAAAAATATAATATAAATTATGTATCAATATAAGAATATGTGGTAATAAGCATTAATATTTATTTGCATTAATGTTTTTAATAGTACCTTCTGAATCAATTCATTGAAATGGACAGTTTGAACTGAATCTCAGAAATTAATTTAACTTTGCAACAATGAAGTTAGAAGTCGAACTCAACTGTCATGAATATTTGATACATCGCCCAGCTATTCGAGGAAATGGGAGCTGGCATACATGAAATTAGCATGATGTCACCTTTTTAGTGTGCACATGTTATTAAAATTTCTAGGTGTAGGTGTGCCAGCTGAGAGCATCTGCCTTTCCCACGCTCTCTTTTCAGCTCAGCTGTGCCAGTACAATCGAAGGGAACAATGTGGCACTGTGAGGTTACATAGCAGAGGCTTTGCTAATCTACCTGCCACCCTGCCCTACCTGTTTGCTGATGAGCCTGCTAAATTACCCAGCTAGCGCTCTGGGGAAAAAAGCACGGACAAGTGTTGTTTGAGCAGTCTTAACCGGCTCACAAAAAAAGCCAGTCTCTGTGTCCAACAGCATTTAACAAAAGCCACATATTGTGTGATTTCTAGCTCTCAGAAGTACTGAAACCATCCCAGAGATCACAACACACTAAAATCATGGTGAACAACCAGAAAATATAAATATGTACTTTGTATTTAGCATTTTTTGTTCGTTTGCGCACAGTTTGTCTGGCTCCATCATCTGTTTTTCATCAAACTCTGATGTTTTCGTGCTTTCCTTCAATCACGGTAAACTGATTTGATCGCCATAGCCTGTCTGTCCATTCGCATGCACAAACTTGATGACTAACCCCTTTATTTTGACGGATTACTCAGAAAAGAACATCTAAGGCGCTGGACAAGGCGCCTTTCAGCCTCCGTTCAAACGTGCATGTGGAACTAACATAAATGGAGAACTTTCCTAATGGCCGTAATGCCATGACGTTAGCGATTTAATAGGCAGTGACCAAACGAAATGCAATCAAGCCAGGATCAGTCAGCATCAGTGTCAGTCATTTTATAGTAGGAGGGATGTCAGTCATTTTATAGTAGGAGGGATGTGCATTTAAAATGTATGGTTCAAAATCAAACCGCCACAGCCAGGTGTGTATTTTCACTGCTCTTTAGTGGCAAAGCTTTTGATTTATTTCTACCATTTTTTTTTTTACCACACATATATATATATATATATATGTATGTGTATATGTATATGTATATGTATATATATATGTGTATATGTATATGTATATGTATATGTATATATATGTATATGTATATGTATATATATGTATGTATATATATATATATATATATGTATGTGTATATGTATATGTATATGTATATGTATGTGTATGTATATACACACACACACTAGTCATTGAGTAGTCAAAATCGGACAGTTATTGTTTAAGGTCATGCACTGAAAAAAAATTAGGTGTAGGATTTACTTTTAAAAGCAATTTTCACTCAGAAATTGCTTGTAAATTTCACAAATATTTACAAAGAATTGACAAGTAACGCATTGGATTAAATGTGAAATTTTGAATAACCTGTAAGTAAAAATATAAACAAATATATTGTATTATTTCACTTTAAAGCAAAGTTAGTTTATTAAAATAATTTTTTATAGTACAACTGTATAATATTACAATATAATTATAATACAAATATATATCTAACATTTAAAATATAATTCTGATTTTTCTGTTCAAATGTGCGATTGCTATTTAAAATAGCAAAATTTTAAATTTTAATTTAAAAATAAAAATAAAAAAAGCTCCAGGTTTGCTGTGTTTGTTTATAGGATTGCAGAGTTTGGCCAAATATTTTGATTATCTATCAAATATGACTATAAAATAATTATAATTATTACTACTAACAAAAAAAAAAAATATTAAACAAATTAAGAAATTTCTATTTCTTACTATTTCTATTTTTTACTATTTTTAAAATTAAGAATTATATTTTGAAGTACAACTATAAAATTACAGTACTAATACTTATGCAACAACTTAAGACATTTCTCTGCATGTGTAACATTCACTGATAATGAACATTTTTGGAGTCTGACATTAATTGTCTATTCTATGAATTTGTTACAAAAGCACTGCTTTAATGGCTATAGTCCTGGAAATGAATTTAGACAGTCAAATAGTTACTGTTAGCATGCAAAAAAAAAACAAAAAAACATTTTGGCATGTTAAACACCCTCTCTGAGAGAAGTAACGTCTCTAATTTATTCCCTTTGTCACCACCACTGAAAAATATAAATCTAGATAAGCTCACTATTCAAGCTCAACCTAACAACCAACTAGTCGACCATCCTGATCCTTCCCTAGTAAAGTGTGATTTTTACCGGTTGTACATAGCATTCTGAAAAGTAATAACGACACAGACAGCACCCTGACAGTAAGTTGCCACAGCTTTGTTGTTCATTGTGTGTATTTGAGGTCATGGAGGCATGTCTGGTCATGCCCGGCCTTGTCAGATTTCCTGTGATCTCGGCTTATCTCAGGTTAGGATGGCTATCAGCACATCGTAACCGTCTGCCCGTGGTGCCAGGCTACAGACCTTGATCAAATGTACGACATATAGTGGAGATTTATTACGACAAAGACGATGGTTTCCAGAATTGATGTTTCAGAAACAGAGCATATACTTTTCAGTTTATTTAGAAAGTTCTGGCTTCAAATGAGCAAATTTGTTATGACCTGAAAACATAAGTTTTACTAAATGTTAGTTGAAAGAATGAGACTAACATCATGGACGTACGTGACTTGCCAATTTAGTTTTTTACAATTTACTACGATTTTACGGTTTCCTAATTGGGCCATTTGTCTTTGTTTTGCATTTCTACCGTTTGCTCGGCTAGTTTTATTATGCGCTGTATTGTTTTATTATCTGTCTCACTGTCAGCTTTAATGACAGATATATTGGGGGTTGTTTGACCTGGACGAGACCTGTTCCTTTGTTACTGCTTTAGTCACTTCCGTTTGTTAAACCGTGGCTCAGCTCTTAAGATAACGTTGAATTTTGGTCTTTCATGTGTTCCCCTCTCTCTCTCTCATTCATATATGCTCAACTTTGACCTCTGGTTACAAAGAAGGCAACTTTTTATGGCCGAGTATATTTTGCTTTTGAAAGATTTATATATTCCACATTCCTGTTTCCAGGGAGTCTGTATTTGTGATGCTTCATTGTGAGGTAAAAACACCCAAAACAACCCTTCAGAAACAGGTATTTAGCACCATGATTTAAGAGCCACGTTTCCAGCAGCGAGCCCTTCCAACTAGCCCGTGCACAGCAGAGTTTCTCCAAATGAAAAGTTGCTTGAAGTATCCAGGGAAGTCTTGAGTTGGGAAAACCACAACGTATAATTACCTGCCAGCACCCTTTCATTAATACCAGCGCTGGAATTCGGCCAATCTTAATTGTTTATGTGATGTCAGTCAAGTCTTTGTGCCGAAAACCTTGCACACCCCTTGCATTTTTAACGCTCTGGAAACCTTATATTTACTAAAAGCACCTTAAGGACTGGAAACAATCGAGCATCTATGCTGGGATCCCAGCGTTTGGGAAAACTACTCATGCTCCACAAAGGCCATGCTGTGTGATGGTTCAAGATGATGTCGCCCCGGGCCAGTTGGAGAAGTTCAGACTTTTCCAACCTCTAGATCAGTGTTTCCCAACCCTGTTCCTGGAGAGACACACCAGCACTACACATTTTGGATGTCTTCCTTATCTGACCCATCCATTTAAGTCTTTGAGTCTCTACTAATGAGCTGATGAGTTGATTTAGGAAGCGTTTGAAAATATGTAGAAGAAACAAGGTGGTGCAATTACGATTTGCAGAAGCATAGTGAACAGATTCAGGAGTGAGGCACTAGTTTCCATTACACCTGCTTTGCGGTTTGGAAGAGTTTGAAAATGTGTAGTGTTGAGGTGCCTCCAGGATCAGGGTTGGGAAACTGCTCTATATCAGTGTATATGTAAGCTCTATATCAAGTGTTTTCCAGCCATGTTCCTGAAGCCCATTTTCTTTTATATTATTCCCTTTTACAAAGTCTTGAATTGGTTTTATTAATAGATTTTCATGCTTGATTGTTCTAAAAAACACAATTTTTGTACATTATTGCAGCAGTCTGTCTTGAACAACCTGTTTAGTTCCTGTTTCCAAAATATGAAATGTGCTCTGATTGGTTAGCTGGCCCGGTGTGTTGTGATTGTGATTCTTGAAAGGTGTTTTCTATTAAAGAGAATATCTCCTTTCAGAGTGGACTTTGAGCTTTGTAACCTTCCTGATTTTTTTTTATGCTCAAACAGCAACATTACACACTAACTAAAGTTGAAAAAGTGAAACGGCATAATAGGACCGCTTTAAGGAGACATGCAAAATGCAGCGTTGGGTGGGTTTCAGAAATGTGGTTGAGAACCACTGCTCTAGATGATTGAGGATCCCAGAGGATCGCCTCCCAATGTTTGGATGTTCTCCTTAACATTTTTTGTGAAATGATGGAAATATGAGGGTGTAATTGTGACTTGCAGAAGCATAATGTACAGATTCAGGAGGGTGGCTCTAGTTTCAGTTACTTCTTTGAGGCGTGGAGAAGATTGGCCATTTTCACACTTTTAAGTACTGTAGATGTGATGGACAGTTATATGTTTATTCATTCTTTTCCGTGAAATAAGGGTGTTGGTAACTTCACGGTTAATTATCTGAACTCCTTGCGTACATTTTCAAGGTTCGCTTCTAGGTGCATCCCAAAAATTGCATAATCACCGTTGGGCCCTTGAGCAAGACTTGGTTGCACCAGGTGGACTATCTCTCCAAAGAGTGTACACTGTCCTTTGGAGGAAAAGGATTGGGAGGGAGGCCGCTCACGAACTGTTAGCCGCTGATGTGCATTAATAATCTTTACCTCATGTTTAACGTAGTCCTTTCATGTGGCGCTGTCTTCAGTGTGTGTTACATTTTATGCCTGTGTTGACCAAGTGTGCTCAAGAGCGCATCAAAAGTCTTTGTTCTGCATGCAAAGCAGCATATGTTTTAAATTTAGCTTCGTCCTGTAAATCCAAAACTCTTCAACAGACTGTATTTCCTACACAGCGCATTAGCTTGGCATTTCCTGCATGTCATGCTCAAATATGAAAGCTGATCTGAGTTGAAACGAATTTCATTTAAATGCAGGCGGTACATCTCAACAAACCTTTTGGCCCAAAATATGTAATTTATGCTTGCTTTATTTAGTAGATGCATTCATCCAAAGTAATTTACAAGTAATGAATAACAACATGAATAACAGTTGAAGACAAGTGATTTATTGCAACAATATTGTCTTGTTTGAGGTTCTGCAGTTGGTACTATTTGTATGGTCATATGATGTTGCTAAAAAGAACATTATTTTGTGTATTTGGTGTAATGAAATGTTTAGTTCAAATAATGTTTAAGGTTCAAAAAACATTATTTTCCACATACTGTACATTATTGTTTGTCCTCTATGGCCCGCCTTTCTGAAACGCGTCGATTTTTACAAAGCTCATCGGTCTGAAAAGCGAGGTGTGCTGTGATTGGCCAGCTATCCAGTGCATTGTGATTGGCCGAATACCTCAAGCGTGAGACGGAAATGTTACGCCCCTACCATACTGTGATGCCCTGTCCGGCCGGAGCGACGAGACAAAAACATTAAAACCCATTATAAACGGGTCATTTGTTGCATCCAGTGGGGACATAATTATGGATTATAATGACTTATACTGTCTTTTTACGCGTTGCATCGCGCCAAACTTTTATAAAGAATATCTCTTTGGATTTGAGACTTTAGTCTTTGCAACTTTACAGATCTTCTTTATGCACCAAGAGCTTGTAACAAAATTGATTAAAAAAATTGAAATCGCATCATATGACCCCTTTAAAGTGCCCCTATTATGCCATTTTTAAGATTTCTAATATTGTTTTGGGAGTCTCCTACAATAGGTTTACATGCGTGAAAGGTCAAACAATGCTTTCGTTTTCTCAAAATATGCATTTAATATCACCTAATTTTCCAGCAATTCTCAAATGACTCATTCGAAGCAGTTGTAACATTCAGTATCTAAACCCCTCCTTTCCATGAGCCTACTCTGCTCTGATTGGTCAGATGGCCCGGTCTGTTGTGATTGGTCTACTGCATACTGCGTGTCAGAAACGATACACCCACTGCCATATTTCCGTCTTTTGAACACTCGATAGAGAATATAAACATCTATTATTTATCATACAGGTTGTGATTCAATCTTTCAAGAGCAAGTGTTTTGTGAATCCCGTGTTAAACTCCCAGAGATTAGAGAAGCAGTCGTCAATAAAATGACGTGTTTGTGGACGGGGTCAAGTAGTTCGCGACCAACCAACATAGAACATAGGTGGGAATGTGTTGTCACGTAATTGAGATTCGAATTACTAATGACTCGTTCAGGCTGTATAGGGTCTATTCTTTTATTTTGGGAGACAATAACTTTATTTATCATGCACTTTCGGCAACTTTGCAGATCGTTTACATTCACATACAGCTACATTACACATTTAGTTTGCGTCAAATCCATTTTTGCTTATATTGTTGCAATTCAGTGTTTTGTAAATCCGTTGTGTATACTGGTATGTTCAACTCAATAATTCATAAATCCTTTAGTGTAAATTGTTGCATTCAAGTGTTTGCAAATACATTTTTCCTTAGATTGTTAAATTTAGTTTTTTCGTAGATATGTTGTGTATATTCTTACGTTCAAATTCAATTTCTTTGTATGTAAAAGCATTGCGTGAATTGTTGCATTTATGTCAGTTTTTCATGAATCTGCTATTGTGTATATTGTCACATTCAACTCAGTCATTCGCAAACCAGTTCGACTTAATTCTTCGTAAATATGTTCCTGTAAATTATTGCATTCAGTTGTTCGTGAATCCATTTTTGCATAAATTGTTGCATTTATTTCAGTTTTTCGTAAATCTACTGTGTATATTGTTGCGGTCAACTCAGTTGTTCATAAATCCACTGTTGTGTTACTTGAGAATTTACACAAATTAGTCCTGGTAGTGTTTCATTAATGATTGGATGGAGACATCATGATGTTTCCTGAATGTATACTCGTGATCCGCTGTGGCGATGCCTTCTTTCATCCTCACGATGAAGTAAGATGTTAATCAACCTCTGTGCGTGAAATTGCTTATCCATCTGTGGTGCTAACATTAGCATTTCGCTTTGTGTTTAAGCTTTCCAGTTCCTCCAGCTTCAACGGTGAGCTGCCGCTCGGTGGAGCAGGGGATCAGACGCTTCCTCAAAAGTCACACCTGTGGGCCTCTCTCTCAGTGTCCCCCGCCGACTACCTGGAGCGTCCCGAAGTCCACTCGCGCCGCGAGAGCTCCTGCAGCACCCTGCTGGCCAAGACGGAGGTTCCCATCCATCTCATCAGCACCACCAACCAGCTACACAAGCAGGGCAGCGTCCAGCAGCAGATACCGACCAAACTCGCTGCCCTCAGCAAGGGCAAGGAGAAGAGCGGGAAAGCCAAGAGTTCGCACCGCACCGACAGTTCTGGTTAGTAATGCTTTGTTTGCGGACACCAAATGACGTTCTTTGGGTGCGAATTTGCCGATTCCTAAATCCATCTTTGCTTTTTCCTAGCTTCTGGTGACATGAAGCAGATGCTGCCCATCAAGCTGTCATCAAGGGATTCGGACGGAGGTCACAAAGCACGCCGGCCCATCAGCCCCCACCAACCTCAACATTCGCACTCAGGTAAGACAAACAACCGCACCCGACATTCCCGGCCGAGCCTGAACGAGCAGTATCCCGCTGTGTAAACAGTCATTAGGCCCAGCTGACAGGCCTGTTGTTTGGTTTGCTCACCCTGCAGATTCCCTCAACCCTCCAGATGCTCATACGGATGCCCAGTCTAGCCTCGCGCCCGCTGTTCTCAAAACCCATAACCAGACCTCCCAGACCACCCTCCCGTACACTGTTAGCGGCCAAGCTGCCAAGGAGGATGTTATCTATTTCTGAGGCATCTGATGGGGTGCAAAGACATTGCGTTGGCGTTTCGGATGATATTTTACTAAAGGAACATATTTTAATCTTCCTAGTCTTCGCAACTAACACGTTTTATTGAAGCCTGTAAATTACAACAAAGAAAAATGTGTTTTAGTTTGTATGAGAAATATCAAAAAAGGCTCACTGTTTGTTCAGAAAACCCAAAGACTTTGACGGACAGCTTCACGTGAAGGACAGTTCTGTAGCATGCGCTCCAAATGGACCATATGAAGGGCAAATGGATGTTGCTTATTGTTGTGGTGAGCAATTTTGCACAGCGTCAACGTCCCATTTAATTTCAAACACAGTATTTGGGATGACTGTTTTCTGTTGGATTTGTTCAGTTTCATTTGCGGTCACTCTGGAACATTATTGCTTATGGAAAATGACATGTTGACATTTTGAAATTTTAGTCAGTTTGTTCACACTGGTTTATTCAGTCATTTTTGACTGTACACTGTATAAACTTGGCTGGATTTCAACTTTCAACCAAAAAGATTATTTGATTTCAGAAAAGCCAACTCCATTTAAGTGGTCATTTCATTCAAGTGGTGCATCTTTTTAGAGATTTCCTCCAGATGTTCACAAAAAAAGCAGTGGATGTGAAGAGAATTCAAGATTTTATTAACCAATATTCTGTTTTTAATTTATATGTTAATAGATCTTTCAAATGGAGAGAACAGTTATCTCGGTATTTTGAGATTACTCAAAAATCAAATGAAGGATACAAATGTTTTAGACAGTAAATGTTTTCCATGTTTTCTACTTTCCAAATGATCAAAAAGTCAATTTAGGACTTGATTTGACTGAAATACACCTGAAACTCATGACAACTCTCAATGACCAGCTCATTAATTACCCTGAAAAATCAAAAGAAAAAAAATTGTCAATTTTTGCATTTTTCCTAAAATTATCAATACCGTAATGCAGAACCAATGTCATTTACCGTGATGCAAATAAAATTTTTTTTAACTTGTTTTGAAATTATTTAAATAAAATTAAATTATAAGTATACATCATAGTAGTGTTTTTGCTTTAGTGTTAATTTATTTAAAAAAAAATTAAAAACAGATTTTTTTTTGCATTACGGTATTGAGGTCTTTTTGGGGGGGAAATGTTTAATTGAATTAAATCATACTAAAATAGGTTTTACTGTTTTTTTTTTTTTTTTTTTTTTTTTTTTTTTTTTTTTAGTTGTTTTTTTTTTTTTTTGGAGTAAAATGACATTAATGGAGACGGTTCCATTTAAGATTAGTGCCAAATATAGTTAAATATTGAGATATATGTATACATTAACTTAGCTTAACTTAGTTTCCTTACCCATCCTAGTTATTTCTACTTTTAAGAAGGAAAGCTTTGTTTTAATCTCGTTTCCTTTAAACATTTGCGTTTTTGCATTTCCTCCTTTCTTATGACCCACATTCATTTCATTCCACATCTAATTGAAGTCTCTAAAGTTGTCAAGCATTTCTTCTGTTCTCAAGCTGACCACACAAGCAGCATGTGTGATGTAATACTTTGGATTTCAGAGTAATGCCACCAGACTTGGATTTAAACCATTCCGTTTCTATACCGAGCCCATGAGCTGAGAGTATGAAGCCACTGACTGATCTCTGTCGTTCGTTTCCTGCAACCATGTGACTTGTATGTATATGTTGTACATAGAGTTTCCTTCTAACATAGACGAGATGTAGATATTATGCCAGGATGTCATGTGACCACTGAAATTAAAGATGGTCCATTTGGGTATAGTTTTCTTCGTTTCGTTTTGTAGGCACTTTTTTTTTTTCTTCAAAAAACGAATCTGTCTGAGTGTTTTTATTTTAGTAAAAAAAAAAAAAGCATTGCTTTTGGATAACATTTCACCTGTTCCACTTGACAGAAGTAGTATTTTTGACATTACATTTATAAAAACAGCTTGATATGATATTCATCCTATATTTTGAGTTTCTAGGTCCAATGCTTTCCCAGTGAAGGGATATTTTCACATTGTAGCAGATCGGTCTTGACTGTCAGTGACACGTAAATAAATGCCACGTGATGTTGATGATGTAATAATGAAGTTAGTGACTAAATGCTGTTTGTCTCACTCCTTTAGCTGCAGCGCACTTTACCCCAGAATGAATTGTTTTCTTTGTTTTCTTGTATTTGTTCAACTGTGAGCTTAAAAAAAACATCATGTCGCTTTAAATTGTCACTTGATCCAGCTGGCATTCATTGTGACTGTAGCTTCTTGGTGTCTGTGATTGTATGACATATTTTATGTTGTTCCTTTGCGAAGAGGATGTCTTGTCAGATATTGTCAAATTATTTCTTAAAAAAAAAAAAAATTCTGCTTCCAGTTACACTAGCCACTTTTCAATACCAGCAAACTTTAAGGGGACCTCAAGTGTTAATATTTCTGATGTTCTGTGTCTAAAATTTTTAGCACGCAAGGCCAGTGTGATTTTTTTTATTTTTTTTTATTTTATTTATTTTTTTCTACCACAGCATTGTACTCACTCTACCGAACAAAAATAGAAATACTTGTGAACACTTAAAACTGCTGCCTTTAGAGACATTTTAGTAATAAAATAAGTGGGGAAAGAAATCTGGTTCTGAGTCTTTTTTTTTTTTTGTTTCCGCTATGGAATAAAAAATAAAAAAGGTAATTGCGACTTTTTATATATATCAAAATTCTGACTTCTCAGAATTTATATATCGCAATTGTGATTTAGCATCTCAATTCTGATATTTGTTTTTCCTATCATGTGGGAAATAAATCTGATTTTGACTCTTTACTCTTATTCAAACCTCATTGTGTCTATGTATGAAAAAAAACTTTTGAAGAGCACACTTCGTAGAATACTGTATCTCACGATGCAATGCGCCCAACCTGACCTTCCATTTGCTCTGCGACGTATGAACAGCAAGTAATCAAGTGCAATGTCTAATGCCTTTTTTGACTCATTTGCAAAAACGTACAATATTTTTACGCTACATTTAATTTAAAAAGCAATCTAACAGTTTCATGTGCAAAATAATTTGGAGGCCACTCGAATAAACATGTGACAAATATGTGGAATACTGCTGTTGGATATGTTTACGAATGCAAAATGTACAATCTTACCATATTTTCAAGAATACAAGTCACTTTTTTTTTATCATCTGAAATGAGCATGATGCATTTGGCCCAAGTTTATTTGTAGTTTCAGTTTAGATTTAGATTAATTTATGATTTATGGTTGTAATATTTTTTTTTGTTTATAATGACTTTTACAATAATTTGTTTGTTTCATACTTATTTGTTGGTTCCTGGTCTGTTTGAATACAGTCAAATTTAAAGGATTTGTTGTGGAGTGCGGGGGACTAAATCACATTTATAGTGTTTATAACGTTTTAACGTTTCATTTTTTTTACCGGTATTTGGCATTATTTTTATATTACAATACATTATTGTAATAAAATGTGACTTACAAACTGGTGTGACTTGTTTTTTTTTTTGTTTTTTTCCTCTCCCTCTCTCTCAACAATGCAATTTTGACCAATGCAACTTCCAGAAAAAGCGGTAAGTATATCTTTTTTTTTTTTTTTTAAATAATACTCTTTATTTTGCAATGCAGACGTAAGCTTTTTCTTTGAATACAGTGCAGTAAACTGTGAAACTTATTTGCGCTACAAACCAGTGTGTTTATAATTAAGACAATTTATTAATGTACTATTTTGCAATATCAAGTAGTATAAGGAGCAATTTTGTACCGCTATTAATGGCTAGAAGCGGATGACACCGGAAGTCTCGCACATACGAGATATAAAATGGCCGTGCCCGCTCTTACCTTAAAAATAAGGCGGATACAGTAGTATATACTGCGTAGTACGCAACTATTCCGTTCCGAACACAGCCTATACCTTACGATTGAAGTTGACCACAGAGGAAACTGAAAAGCATGTAAAACATTGTAGTGAGCAGTGCTTATGTTATTCTAGGTCCTCTCCGGGACGGTCTCTTCTACAATCTTACCATATTTTCAAGAATACAAGTCACTTTTTTTTTTATCATCTGAAATGAGCATGATGCATGATGCATTTGGCCCAAGTTTATTTGTAGTTTCAGTTTAGATTTAGATTAATTTATGATTGACGGTTGTAATATTTTTTTTTGTTTATAATGACTTTTACAATAATTTGTTTGTTTCATACTTATTTGTTGGTTCCTGGTCTGTTTGAATACAGTCAAATTTAAAGGATTTGTTGTGGAGTGCGGGGGACTAAATCACATTTATAGTGTTTATAACGTTTTAACGTTTCATTTTTTTTACCGGTATTTGGCATTATTTTTATATTACAATACATTATTGTAATAAAATGTGACTTACAAACTGGTGTGACTTGTTTTTTTTTTTGTTTTTTTCCTCTCCCTCTCTCTCAACAATGCAATTTTGACCAATGCAACTTCCAGAAAAAGCGGTAAGTATATCTTTTTTTTTTTTTTTTAAATAATACTCTTTATTTTGCAATGCAGACGTAAGCTTTTTCTTTGAATACAGTGCAGTAAACTGTGAAACTTATTTGCGCTACAAACCAGTGTGTTTATAATTAAGACAATTTATTAATGTACTATTTTGCAATATCAAGTAGTATAAGGAGCAATTTTGTACCGCTATTAATGGCTAGAAGCGGATGACACCGGAAGTCTCGCACATACGAGATATAAAATGGCCGTGCCCGCTCTTACCTTAAAAATAAGGCGGATACAGTAGTATATACTGCGTAGTACGCAACTATTCCGTTCCGAACACAGCCTATACCTTACGATTGAAGTTGACCACAGAGGAAACTGAAAAGCATGTAAAACATTGTAGTGAGCAGTGCTTATGTTATTCTAGGTCCTCTCCGGGACGGTCTCTTCGGACAATATGATTTTATTTCTGTCTCTCTTTGCTCGTGTCGTCTGTTGATTCTGGCCTGTTTCTCACAGGAAAAGAGACGGAGCCCAACTTAACAGGACCCTGGTGTCTGTCTCTCAGGCCATGCTAATTGTAGTGCTGTGGCGGAACACGGCTATTTTCAGGTGTTGTGGTTTTCCTTTTATCCAATCTGGATCTGACAGCCGCGTGTCCAGTAATTCTTTACCAGATGATGTCTCTTGCTTTTGTCTTTGGTAATGGTTTTCTGTCTTCCGTCTGTGTCTTGTGCTTGGCTAATTTTAGACGCTGTGCTACGAGATGACCTCTGTCTGGTTCACAAGTGTCTGTAGTCACGTCACGTTGTTAATTGTAGTTATTTTGTGCAAAGACCTCTGTCCGCAAACGAAAACAAACCTCATGCTGCTGGCTAGACGTTTTAGCTGCAAAAGTAGCCAGAATTTCACTGGGAAATTTCAATTTAGAATACCATTATGCAACAAAACTTTGAACATGTATCTTTATTTGTCGTTTGAACAACCGGTAATAAGGTCTTACAGAGTTTGTCTTTTTCTTGTCTCTCAAACTTACCACATGACAGTTGTTGTATGCAGTTCCCACCTCTTTTTGAATCAAATTTAACCAAAAAACAACTCTAGTATTCAGTGAGGGAATCTGATTCAAACTGCTAACTCACAAACAAAGCTTGAGGCTGTTTAGTGAATCTTTTTGATTGACTCATCAAAAAGAACTGATTAATAAGAGTCTTATGTTCCCTAATTTGACATCTTGCTCGCACAGTATTTGCTGTAGCATGCAGGAACCCTTGTGTGAGATGATATCGGATGCAAGTATGGAAGCCCAATTCTGCCACTGAATAAAAAAATTAGAAAGGTCAATCGTTTTCTGAGAATAAAACTAGATATAAACGTGCAATTCTGACTTTCTCGTAAATCTGAGTTTATTTCTCGCAATTCTGATGGGTTTTTTGC